ATGCTCTATTCGGTTCATTTTAAATTAGAGAATTATTACGAATTAGCGAAATACTTTAAATAAGTATTTCGCTAATTCCTAATAATTAAAATAGGTATTAAATAGTATTTGACTTTCTCTGAACATTTCTGAAAGAGAATAAAATAAGTTTTTTTTTTAAGTATTATTTAAAACTTGTAACTGAGTTATTATAAAATGTAAAGGGAATAATTCTTTTAATTATACTTATCAGATTTTTTTTTACCCTTCATTTCAACAATACATATTCCAAAACTCTTTATTATGTTCTTAAGTGCGCATCTCATAGCATTTGCTTTACAATACCTTTTAACAGATTGCTTTCCAATACGAACAATTCTTGCTTAAATAGTTTTATAAGGTATTTGTCAACAGGATTTCAATTTATGTTTACAATTCAATGTTAAGGTTATTATATATTTAGATAATATTTATAATCATTATAAATTAGATAATTTAATCATTAGATTTCTTCACAGTACTTTCACAGTTGTTTATAAGTGAATAAATTCTTCATTTCAAATACATTTATAAATAATTTAATGAATTTAAGTATTTTGTCAAAGGCAGATACATGCTTTTTTTGCAAGCACATGCATAAATACCCATACATGTTTCCTATTTATCATTTCCGGCATGTGCAAATCTTTAATTTCTGTGCATTCACTATATTTTTCGTGTAAAGTAGTTTACACTAATTTAGCATACACCCGAAAGTTTTACATAAAAAATAATATGAATATAATTTGAGTGAAAATTATAAGTATTATTTTAATACCCACTCAAAGGTCAGTTTTTTTTTTTCAAAATTCCTCCACGATGGCATCTCTCTCTTTAGGCAGATAGCCCTTGCATGCGTTACTCTATTTAATAAAAACTTAATCTGACCTATGTGCCTAATTACAAATATTTTAACATACATAATTTTATATTTACATTTAGCCATCAAGTTTCAAACTTTTCAAATCTTCTAGAAAATAAATTTTGGCAGATCTCTTTTAGCAATTTTCTTAAAATCTATATTTTTGTAGTGCAACAGCTTAGAATTTTATAAAACAAATTCATAATAAAAATCGCTGTTGTTAGTTATCGAAAAATAACCAAGATGTGATTTTTGCGTAAATGTCAGTAAACTATACAAATTGCTATTATCCATCACACTATGAATGTTTGTTTCATGCGAGAGTGTCCCTTTTTCGATTTCTATGGAACTGTCGTGCGTCGAAATACTATTAGAATCTTGTCAAGCGAGCTTCTGAATGTAAACAAAGAACACCCCGTCTGGTGACCCAAGCTTCAAAGCAGTGCTTCACTTCTAGCGCGGAATGGCCCCTCCTCCCTTTCCTACCTCCATGATACCAACGCCCCGGCTTATTGCTCGTAATTAGAGATAAATTCGCTCATACTTTTCTCTTATCTCTAATTTATCCTATATAGAGGTGTTCGTATCTCGAGGTTCCACTGTATATATAGTACATCTTAACATAGAGAGTTAACCTCTCTAGCAGTTATTTACTTATAAGGTATTAATTTATTTAGCCACTGCTGATGGATTACAACTGAAATTGTTGCCACTATTAAGACAATAACTTATCATATAAATTATATTGGAAAAAGCGGTTATTTTCTCTGGTAGCTATAAGATTCAAATTGTTTATAACAAAGCTCTAAATTCAAAATCAGACATCTGCCAGATGCCTCTAAAATTCGTAAATCATTTACTAACGTCATATCGACAAACATATAAGCCTTTCACGGATCCAGCAGCGATGTGGCGAAAGTTCTTGTAAGATTACGCTTAAGATTAACCTCCTATTTTTAGATTGTGCATCAAGACATTAAATTTGCATACTGTTTGGTCTGAGCATGCATTGTGACATGAGCAAAGCCGAAAGAGGGTTTAATTCAGATCTGAAAGTTAGTAAAACTCGAAAATAATTGTCAGAATAAGACTGCTATTTTTTCTGAAAGATGTATCTGCTTAGCAGTAGAGTTTGTACTAGGCTTTTTTCGGTACTTTTCCGTTTGGCCGGCGCAATTTCCCATTTCGCCGGCGCAAGCGATAAAGTCGCCGAAAATGGTAGAACTGATGCCAAAGCGAATATCTTCGCTGATAACCTTTCACGGCACTTTTTCAAAACAAGTCGCTGAGATTTATTATCAGATTTACCTTTTTTTTTTTCAATATTTGGCATACAGTTACATAGAATTTTTTAAATTATAATATTGAAATAATTCTTGCATTTAAACTCGTATTCCATACTGAGATTTAACTTGAAATTAATGTAGTAATTAATGAAATTAATGTAATTCCTGAGAGAATCAGATTTTTGTAGCGTATTTTACGTGAGATGAGATCGTTTGGGATCACGTGATATTAACCGGCGAATCAAGAGGTTATACCATGAAAGCATAGTAAATCTTTAATTTAACGTCTTTGAATTCTTAAATTAACGTCTTTTACAAATATGTCAAAAATAGATGAAAAACCAATGAAAATTTGGGATTTGCCCAGGATAGAGGAAGAATCCGTCAGATTCTTTCAAGCGAAAGGCGTTTTGCCTAACATTGCTATTTGTGAAAATAATCATGAAATGAAATTATATTTCGGAGACGAAATTCAATGGTGTTGCAACCTTTCAACTTGCCGCAGTAAAAGAAGTATACGGAAAGGCACATTGTTTGAATCATCGAGATTGAGTTTCTTGAAGTGTTTAAGATTCATTTATGGTTGGAGTGAAGAATTAACTTCCGTTAATGGTGTGAAAAGCAGTTGGAAATCAGTCACGGAACAGTTGTGGATTGGAATAACTACATGCGAGAAGTTTGTGTGGATTCTTTACTTAAACGTCAACAACGCAAAATAGGAGGACCTGGTATGATCGTTGAAGTGAATGAAAGTATGTTCACGAAGCGCAAAAACAACGCGGGACGAATTTTACTACAACAGTGGATCTTTGGTGGAGTTTGTCGTGAAACAAACGAATGTTTCCTTGTGATGGTGCCAAACCGATCCATGAGTATTATATTAGAGGCAATAAATAAAAACATCGAAAAAGGAACTACAATATATTCCGATTCATGGAAATCATATTGCACTGAAAAACTGGAAGAGGAAAGTTTCGAACATTTCAAAGTGAACCATAAATACAATTTTGTAGATCCGGAAACTAGAACGCACACGCCAAAAATTGAAAGATTATGGGGAAGCGCAAAATGGCGGAATAAGAAACACAGAGGAACTGCTCGGCATCATCTGGAAAGTTACCTCGCTAAATTTATGTGGCGAAAGGACACAAAAGACCCATTTGAAAAAATTCTAAATGATATTAAAATATTTATGCTTCCAAAATAAAAAAAAAATAAAAAAATTCTTAGATTTAACATTTGTTAACATTTTTTTTATGTGTATACTGTGTGTTGTCGCCAATAAAGTCTGCTTGGCGAGATTTGCTCCGGAGAAAGGGAAATGGCGAGGCTTGCGCCGGCGAAACGGAAAAGTACCCTTTTTTCTTGCAACACATGCAAGGCCACATTCTCTTTAAATTTCCTTTATATATTTTCATAGATTTGTGTCTGTGTACACCGTTGTAACGATGATTTATGGGGAGTGACTTGGGGTTGATTTTGATCGGTGGTTGGAAGAAAAATGGCAGTGCCATTTTGTCTTTGGGGATCGAATCTGCTAGACAGAAATCCAACATCGTACCGCAAGGCAAAAAAAGATCAATCCTCTGCAGCCGATACTTGAATCGATTTGGAGGTTAAAGTGTAGCAAACGCTGGTGGTTTGCCGAAATCAGAGCGTTTCTCGATATCAGCATAAACGATATCTTATATAAAAGCAAAATATTTGTTGCTTTCTTCCTTTGATTTGGTTTGTGTGATTATGGCAAAGCCTCGAGGGCTATTTGCTTAAGAGATACCTTCGTGTAGGACCTACGAAGGGAAACTGGCTCGTATACACTTTACACATGGGGAAAACCACGAAAACGTCCGTGCATACAGCCCTTTCGCGGAATATGAACCTCTGACCGAACCACCAGTGTTTGGCGACTTTACCGCTCGGCCGCTGGTGGGCTATTTGTTGGTTTCAGAAAGAATCATGTTAATGTCAATACTTATTTTACGTAAGAACACAATACTTAAAGTGTGATATTTTTTAGAGAAACCCTCATTTCTTCTTCCCGGGTAGAATTATAGTTATTCTACTTATGAGATACCTTGTAGAACTTGTAAGGATTATGTTAATTTTATTAACAGTTAATTTTTTAAGTCCCTTTCCTGTCAAATTCTTAACTTCAACTTACTACTTCCGGCCAGAACGTAGTTTTGGAGTCATTCTGAATACTTAATGAGGAGGAGCGGTATTTAAACCCCTAAGTCTACTTGTAGAGTTCGAGAGAAACAGACTTTCTGATTTGCGTGCGTCTGCCTTTTGGCTACTCTCTCTCTCTCTCTCTCAAAGCTGTTATTACGCTCGGCCGTACTCAGGCCCTTGATAAGCTTCGTAGTCAAATAGAGTTAAGGGGCCAACTCGATTAGAATCTTGATAGCTTCGGCTATATTTCTTTAATTAATTTTAGTTTTAGTCTAACTCTTAAGCTCAAGCCCAAGTGTCGGCTTTGATTGTACACTCCAAGTCGGAGTTTTGTTAAATCTTATTGGAATAATAAAGGGTTAGTTACCCTTCCAACTTGTTGTTTCTTGTTACACGAACTTAAACGATTATTCGCTAACTAGTTCTTAAGATTCGTATTTTTCTACAGTAACTGAGAAATACACTAGTGAGAATCTTACAAACTGTTCATTTAAAATAATGCAGATTAATAATGCACAAATTTAAACTAACCATTCGCCTGAGTCACTAGTTTTATACAACCCCTCCTCCCAATCCTTACTAAAGGCTAAATTATTTTAAGGTGAAATAAAAGTCGATTCTTTTCTCAATTTGAGAGAAGAAAAATTTCATTATGTACTCACCATTGCTCAAATCATGCCGAGCATGATGGATTAGATGCCTGGGTTTTTCTCTCATCTGAGTATCTTCATGAAACTCGTAGTGCTCTCGTATAGCTCTGTGAACTAGGTGGAGCAGATTAGTCAGGTAGCTATCGCAGGGAGCATACATTAAAACTGAAAAGGAAAGCGTGGTTTTCAATGAGATTACAGAGGCTGTTCACACATTTTTTAGACGATGTATATTGTATTCACAAAACTAAATTGCATAAAATTCTTGTGTTTTAAATGTTCTGTTTGACATCCCTCATTCTGAACTATCTTTTGACACCGCAATTTCCAGGATAATAATGCCTTTTGAAGTGGCAGAAAAAATATTCTATCCCATTCCTCCCGAACAGCTTTCCAGAGTCCTGCTAGGGTTTTGGGACAACGTTTGGATAATGCAGTTTTTAAAAGTCCGAAAGCACAAACATCCATAGCTGACAAATCGGGAGATTTAGTAGGGATATCAGTGAAGGGTATGGCCTTGATAGCAGTTTTTTGTTCCATTTCGTTTAGGAAATCTACAGTGGATTTTGATGTCTGACTGCTAACTTTGTCCTGATGAGTCTCACAGATGGATGGCACTGTGGGTAAAGCGAAGCGATGGTATTTCATTCAGAAAAATTGGCGATAAAATATGTTCCTGACAGTATCTGGATTTAATGTTGACATTTTTTTGCACTCTCTTTATTTTTAACTTGCCGTTATAAGAAAAACCAGCAACGATCATGAATCCCTTAGAAAAACTTTTTTTCGATTCTTTGAACCATGTACTTAAATTTTTTTTTCTTCCCTTTTATGATAATAACTGGCTCTTTTGTTACAATCATTTAAATACACCCATGCTTCATCTATTGTGACAATTGCTTTCCATTTTTCTTTGGATAAGTGTTTCTCATGTAGAATTCTACAACGTGTCCTGCGTTGAGCGATATGCTTTGGAAGAAGACGATGCACATTGCGTTTTTTCGCTGTCTTAAGATTTAAATCAACGTTTATCATTTTGTTTACAGTGGACACCGAGCATTTGAATGATTTTGCAACTGTTCTTTGACTAGGGGATTTTCTTTTAACATTAAACAACGTACCTTTGCACTAGTCGAAGATGTCCGTTTTTTCCTTGGATACTTGTTTGGAATTTTTGTCCCACTTGAGGCTCCAATTTGACGTTTGTTTCCTTTCTTGTTGATGATATTACCTATCGATGGTTTAGATATCACAAAACCATGACTCTCATATCGTTTTTGGATAACGGAATATGCCTATTTCTCTTCGGAAAGAGCGTAAATGTAGCCTTCGAACCACTGCTTTGTTAAATTCCCCATTTTGAATAAAAATAAAACTTTCAAGCCACAGATGATAATTTTGACTTTTAAAAACATAGTAGTACAATTGCAATTACTTCTTTTGCAGCAAATGATTTTTTATTACCGCTTACCAAAATTGTCTAAAAAATGTGCGAATAGCCTCTGTACAAAGAGAACTTTATCGAAATTAGTGATAGCAGAACTGCAACATTCCATAAGGCTTACTTGAAAATAAAAATCACTGTCTCTAATCGAAAGCTTCTAAAACTGAATATAATTAAGGTTTGTTATTTTCAGCAACAAAATAAATCTTATATTCTAGAGTGATTTAGAAATTGTGCCTTCGCCGGGACACAAACTCCGCATTTTCCGACTGCTAACCGGACGTGTTTTCCGATTACACCCCGAAGATGCGCGGAAAAGAGGTAGAAAAACCTTGAAATATGGAATTAAATAAACTTCTATCTATAATAGTTAGAATAAAATTTTCTACATTTTCTTTCGGTATAAAATTGAGCAAAAAAAGCAACCTTAGTTTGGCGTGGACTTTGAAAATACTAAATTTACTCGACTTTATTGTTGTTTTTACGTATTATTGCAACATTGTACAATCATTTATTTATTTACTTATTTGTTGCTTTTAAGGTGACATCTTTAGAAGTTATTTTGTGTGTAATTGAATTTGTTTCGTAAACCAATATTTATTTCTTAAAAAAAATTACAGATCTTTCCATTTTGAGTCCAACATTGTTAAATGTGTAAAAGTAACTCAATTAGAATGCGAGATATGAGAGAACATCCTTGGCGGGCCTTGAAAGTTGATAACATTTGGAAGCTCTCGCTAATTGGGAGACATTTCGGAAGTTTGTGGAAGACATATTTTTCAACCGATTGTTTCCCCGAACTTCCTCGTATGCGCTTAACGCCATATAGATCTGACTCCGAAAGCTATAACGAGTTAATTTTCGATCAGTTTCTGAGCCTCTGCAGCTCAAAGGGAATTAGCTACGTTCTCCTTAAGCTGTTTACAGCTATTTATTCTGCTGTTTGTCCATATTATTTGTAATAAATTATCAGTCTTCCCCTGCTTATTCGAAGTTTTTAGTTAATTAGGTAGCGCGAACCTGCAGCTCTCTATATACTGAAAGGTATAGTTAATATATATAAATAAAGGTACGTATGTGTTTGATTAACATATCATATTGTAAACATATAGTATCATAACATATCGTATTGTAACCATAATACTCAAATAATTATGATATGTTTGATTAATATATCGTATTGTAAACATATCGTATTGTAACATATCGCATTGTAAACATAACGTATTATAACATATCATAATTGTAAACATATCTTATTATAACATATGGTATTGTATGGTGTATTTAATTATGGCAAAGCACACGAGGGCTATCTGCCTAAAGGGAGGGATGCCTTTCGTGGAGGACTTTCTAAGGGAAACTGGCTCGTATACACGTTACACATGGGGAAAACCACGAAAACGCCCATGCAGCCAGCCCGTTCGCGGGATTCGAACCTCAGACCGAACTACCAGTGCTCAGCGTCTTTACCGCTCGGCCGCTGGTGGGCCCATATGGTATTGTAACCATAATACTCAAATAATTATGATATGTTTGATTAATATATCGTATTGTGTGCGTGATTATGGCAAAACCTCGACGGCTATCTGCCTAAGGGAAGGGATACCTTCCTGGAGGATTTTCTAAGGGAAACTCGATCGTATGCACGTTACACATGGGAAAAACCACGAAAACGCCCATGCAGCCAGCCCGTTCGCGGGATTCGAACCTCGGACCGAACTACCAATGTTCAGCGACTTTACCGTTCGGCCGCTGGTGGGCCTATATATCGTATTGTAAACATATCGTACTGTAACACATCGTATTTGATTAACATATCGCATATTCAACATTGTAAATTATTTTAAATACATTATTTTACATTTATATTACAATACATGCATTGTACATTATTTTACATTTATATTGGATTGTAAACAATACGATATGTTTGATTATTTTGCCTTTTATGTATAATATACAGGAGAATAATTGAAAGCTTCTTTGTTTCTCGGTACTTACTTATCTTAAAAGCTCTTGAAACTGGCAGCGGCTCTAACAGAAGAAGAGAAAGTGATGTATATAGTGAGGTTGTATGCAACAAGTGCATTATTCGGAATGCATGATCTTTTCTTTTACCAACGTGTGATGAGTGAGCTGTCTAAATTTGTTTTGGAAATGCAAACGAAAATTAGATCTCTGTGTGTAGATGTTCTTTTCCTGCAATTAAAGAAAAAAATGGCAATTAAGTTTCTCATGAGAATATAAAATTTATTTTGATTAGGTAAATCACAAACCTAAGCTAATATAATTGAACTGCTATTCTGAAGAAAGAAAAAAGGTCCCCAAACTGAAATTTAGAATCTAAAAAACTTAATGTTTTTTTTCCTGTATGTCAGTTTTTCATACCTTTCTGCTTGACTGAGGGAATTTTTACTGCCCCGAACATTAAATTTGGTCTGTTTTTACTGTGCCAGTTTTACTTTGGTTGGTTTTTAATGCCAAGAATGTTTAATTAAACGGCTTTTCCTATACCGTTATTTATTTAGTGAATTTTTACAGGGCAGAAATACATAATTTAATGAATTCGTACTACTTCAAATTTACAACGTACAAAATTTTTACCGGATCGAAGGCTTTTACTTAAATGTGTCCAAAAAAATTTTTTTAATCAACTCGTTAATACATTCAACGCGTGTGAGGGCATATGCACATTTTATGCAGAATGTATTACTTTAAAGTATTCTTATCCAGCCTTGCCAAAATACCGTTGTTTCTGTACGGGCTCGTAATGGATTGAATGCACATAGAACCGATGATAGTTTGACAAAATTTATTTACCTAAAGGAAACACTTCGCAGTTCTTGAACTTTCCATAAAAATACACGGGCAGCTGCTCTCAGTAGTAGTTGCAGTTCAAATGCCTAATAACATTAAGGGGACTCATACACCTTAAACCCCTCATGATCTTCGAATATGTGACTATTGCAAGAATTGGGATATTTTATTTATTTTAAAAGCAATTACTTCCAACTTTTTACAGCTGACTTCATGATATAGCTGCTTTGGAAACTAGTAATCAGAAAGTTTGTGTTGCCACAAATATTTTTGTAATTTAATCCTCTTTGTGACGAAATATTTCGCCATGTTTCCACTTTGCGCGCATGATATTTTAAAAATGGCTAATGGTACATACTTGAAATTGGATGAAATTCTTTATATGGGCACTATTTTCTAAATGAACTAACAATCTGATGAATATTTTACTATTGAAAAATTTTATGGACGAAAACATTACACATTTTTTTAATAAAATAATTTTATAAACTCACTCAAAATAAAATAAAAATTTAACATGAAATTTTTAGAATTTTAGGTTCACAGTAGCTTCCAGTCGTTATAAAGCTATATATTAAATATGGAATTAATTATGAAACAGAATGTTTTAAACTGTGCGCGCAAGTGGAAAACATGACGGAAAATGTGTCATAAAGCGGATTCAATTATAAAAATTTGTGTGGAACACAAACTTTCTGATGACTATTTCAGAAAGCAGCTATATTATGTGTCAGCTGTAAAAAGTTGGTAGTAATTGCTTTTAAAATAAATAAGTTATCCCAATTCTTGCGACAGTCACCTATTCGAACATCTTATGGGTTTTAAGGTGTATGAGTCCCCTTAAACACAGCGCAATATAGAGCATATCTAGAAGGCGAAGCTTATACTGAGATATCTCTATACTCCGTACTCAACGCTGAACTAACACAGCGCAATATAGAGCATATCTAGAAGGCGAAGCTTATACTGAGATATCTCTATACTCCGTACTCAACGCTGAACTAACCAACTGCTACTGAGAAACTGATGCTCTCTTCAGTCTTTATAATTTTTCCCTGGCCGTCGAGAAATCTCTAGTACCTTCCACTTCTTGAATTCAAAAAGGCATATAAGGGCCGGTAGCAGTTACATATATAGATTAATTAACATTTTTTTCAATTGAAAAACCAGTTACACTTACATATTGACGAGAGCGAAACGTCGCTAATTTTGGAGAATTTTGGCTATTTTTTGCCAAATTTGGCGACACAAATTAGTCGCCAAAATCATCGCAGCTTGGCGATAACTCCACAATTAAGCGATGTAGTCATTTACTCAATGTTAAATAAACTTGCCCCTGTGTTTTTATTTTTCCAGCAGAGCATTTTCTCTTTCAAGCATTTCACGTTATATTACACAAAAAATATTACAAATATTACATATTTTCAGTAAATTACTTACATATGTACAAAGTTCGTAACAGTACTTATGTTTCAAGGAGTGCTGTCTTACTTTAATGAAAGTTTTGTGGAATAGCTACATATTTCTGATGAAATATTTTAATATTGTATTAATGATAGTATATAGCATTAAAATGATTTCAATTTTCGAACTGCACCTAGAAAAAAAAAACGATTTGTATAGAAAAATGCATTTTATATAACGAAATATCAAATGCAGAATTAATACAGAAAATTGCTAGAGATTAATAGTTAATAGGGAAGATTTATATTTTCTGTAATTTTATTACAGAATAATTTTTTAAGGTTTAAAAACTTTATTAATTAGCGATTCGAAAATCCAGGATTTTTTCTGCGTGTGTACGAAAATGTAAACTAAATCCTCAAGCCACTGACCGAAAATTTTCATATGTAAATGAATAATATAGGAATGTGAACTAGTCTAGGAATATAGAACATGTTATAGATATGTAGTTAATAGTTGTTAACATGTTATATACAGGGTGATCACCGAATAAGCCCTGATTTCAAAATTAAATATCTCTGCAACAAAGATCGATAGAATTATGCGGTAAACTGTACGTTTATTAGCAAAACTTAAAATTGGGTGTAACAAAAGTTTAGAAAATTTAGTTACGAAAATCATTAACAGATGGCGCTCGGCTTAAACTCTTGCTCTGAAAGGAGTCTAAAAGAACAATAAAGTGAAGCGGGAGTAGCGGGATTGTTTCGATAGGCAGTGTCTTCAATGCGTCCCACAAAAGAAGTCACAAGGACTCAGATCTGGAGAATATGGAGGCCAGCAATTCCTGTGTCAGTAAATTGCGGATAATCTAACGCAATCTCTATTCAAGTATTCATGA